GCTATGAAACAAATGGTAGTCTGAAGGAGCAAGATCGGGAGAATAAGGTGGATGAAGAATTTTCTCCCAACCAAGTTCTTCAATCTTTTGTGATGTGCTTCTTGCTGTATGGGGTTGTGCATTGTCCTGATGAAACATCACCTCTTTTTGATTCACTAGAGCAGGACTTTTTTTCCTCAACGTTTGGTTCAAATGCTTTGATTGCTGACAGTATATTTGAGCATTAATTGTTGCATTAGGTGGTAAGAATTTAAAGTGGATTATTCCTTGGCGATCCCACCAGATTGAAAGAAAAACCTTTTGCCCACGAAGTTCCCTTCTCAGCTGTGGCTGGGGTCCTTCCCCTTTACCAAGCCACTGTCTATGATGCTTAATGTTTTGATAAAAGATCCATTTTTTGTCGCCAGTCACAAGTCTATCCAAAAACGGTGAAACAAATTGGCGAGAATGGAGAGAAGAGCAGATGTCAACTCAAGATTTGAGGTTGTTTTCAGACAATTCATGAGGCACCCATTTTCCAAGTTTAGGAACTTTTCCAAGTTGTTGAAGATGACGATGAACAGTTCTATGGTTTGAACTGAGAACCAGTGCCAATTCCTCAACTGATAAAGCAGGATTTTCTTCAAGAAGCTTGTCATCAAACTCAACTGGACGTCTGGTTCGATCTTCATCTTCAAGGGTGAAATCTCCACCTCTGAATTTTGCAAACCATCTTCTGCAAGTTCTTTCATTCACACACCTCTCCATAAACTGAATGAATGTTTCTAGCCGCTTCGGCTGCTGAGTTTCCTTTCTTGAACTCATAAAGCATTGTGCCTCAAATGATTCTTGGGTACTTCCATGTTAGCAGGGTTTTAATCAAACAAAATTTAATTTTATTGTTCTCTGAAAGAAAATTTGATCAGTTTAAATGCATCTAAACATAAAAATAATGTTCAGCTTCATTAGACATTATAAAATACTCTTTAAATTTTGTTCATTTTAACAGAAAGTTAATATTCAGACAGAACTTATGGGATGACCTTATATATATATATATATATATATATATATTATGAAATAGATTAAGTCCAACAATTTCATAGGGTTAAGCTGGATTTTGTTAAAAAATGTCCAGTTTATTTGCGTCTTCCCTTTATTGGTTTAGAGGATGAGTCTTTAGCTAGGTGAATTTCACGACCAATTAATAGCTGTTATTTTTTGGCTAATGTTTGGGTAATATTTGTTACCCGTCCTATTTTCTTTTCCATTTGTAAGATGTCCTTCCCCACCCTTCATGTTGATTCAGTTATTTATAAATATAAGTGTAGTTGTGGACTCGACTTCATAGGGAGGACGTCTCAACGTTTGGATCTGAGAATAAAGCAACTTACCCCCCACCCCCACCAGGATTTTGAATCCGGATGCCAGGAAAAGTCAAATAATTAATACTTCTGGCTCTTCTATTGCAGAGCATATTATAAATATTAGGAATTGTGTCTTTGAATTTAATGTGAACCGTTTTTCGATTTTATCGAGGTCACTCCTCATATTACCTCAAGTCCTTGTATATCAGATCCCATGGGCCTTCTCTCTGTAAACAGAGGGAATGCTTACTGGGTCTGAATGTTATTGGACTCTAGCTTTCTTGAAATTCATTCCCCCCCCTCCATTGGTTATCATTAATGTCAATTAAATTTACACGTTTATTTTTTATATCCCAGAAATAAACTTGATAAGGCTGGTATGAAACCGGTTGTTTTTTTAGCTTAAATATACATCAAAATGCCATATAAATCATGCTTATTCCTAGCTATCCTTCAATTTTGTACTACAAAAAAATTATTTAATATATATATATATATATATATATATATATATATATATATATATATATAAAAACCAACATCACTCCATAACTGGGGTGGGGCACTTGAAACTGTGGTGTTGACCTCATTAGATGGATTATGCATCTTCATTCATAATTTTGAAGATAATTTCTCAGAGGCTGTCAATTACATTGTTTGGAGCACTTCTGGGTCAGCAAGGTGAACACTACTTCCACAAGTTCTCAGGTTACTGGTGCTTCACATATGTTCATATTGCCTGTATATAAGATGAATAGTTAAATAAAATTTAAAAAAAAACTATGCCCATGCTGTACAATATTCTGGTATTTATGAGAAGAGGACAGTTTGCTAAATCCTGACCTGGATGGGTTGCACCCCCCCCCCCTACACAAAGCATTCTATACCTCATCCTAAATGAGTCTACCAATAGAAGACAATGATCCTGCTTCCTCTCCTGAGGCCAATCTACTGCAGATGAGTGTGTGTGTGTGTGTGTGGGGGGTATGCTGATGACATAGGTATTTATAGTTGGGATAAGAACGATCTTGCACAGAAAATCAGTATCCTCTATCAAATGTTCCAAGAAATGGGACTCAAGATAAACCTGTCGTATAGGGATAAAGTGCCGGTGCCGACACTGGAGTTTGAACACAGATCACCAGTGAGCAAACACAGGTGATTCCATTTCTAATAAGTAGACCACATGATCATAAATGAAAGGTATATATGGGAATTAGTGTGGAGTCTAAGCGATCGCAATTCTCTATACTATACTCTATACTATTTCTCTACACTGATCTCTATACAGATTACTATTTGGATCACTATTCGGTGGGTACTTTTTGAGAAAATACTATTTGAACAAGTATTACTAGCGCGAGTATTATTTGAAGGAGTTACTATGAATATCTGCGATTCCAAAGTCTCGACTACAACAAGTATTATGAATGTGATAACGAGCATTTGTTGACATCACAAAAAATCTTAATGAAAACAGTGATGGCACCTACCCTAAATACATCATAAAAATTCAGGATATGGAATTAGTAAATACTAAACACTTCAGATAGCTTGGCATATGGATCAATTATAAAAAATTAAGTATAGAAGAAAAAAAAATTGAACATAAAATAGACTGTGCCAGAGATAGTTTTGCACAACACTACAAATTGCTGCAAAACCAAAACATCAATCTGAAAACTTGAGTCATGTTCTTAAATAGTCTCATCAAATCAAGACTTTCATAAAAATGCCATGAATGGTACTAAACCTGTTCAGAAATATCTAAAGTGTCAGCTGTGTCCAACTGCTTTCTAAGATCAATGATAAAAAAAAGCTTTGAGTGAGTAAATCCTGAGGATCTTGATAAAGAAAATCCCTCTTTGAACATTGTGGGCTAGCACTGCAGATTTACAAACAAAGAATTGTACCAAATAATAGACACCATATCACTTGATGACTACCAACAGCAGCAACAGCTAAAATGGATAGCACATGTAACTTGAAGAGAAAATGACATAATCAAGATGTGGACATTCTACACTTCTTCAAGTAAAAGGTTAAGAAGGACTACTGGAAAGAGTGGTAGCAGCTGCTGGACATGAGAAGCCAGTTTTCCTTAAAAATTGCCTTAAGAGAAAGATTTTATAAATTTCAACTGAAAGCAGTAATAGCTGCTTGGCCAATGAATGCCAAATGTTTCTGGTAAACAGCTAATATTACCATAACCAAATACCTTTAAAAACCATGTGTTTTAAGGACCAGCAATTAGGGTAATTCTTTATTTTCTATGATATTCATAAGAATAGTCTCATTTCATGGGTATGGGTGGCTGATTTTGTTTAGTGGCATATCAACATCTCTATGGGCTATTTAATGCTGAAAAATAAATATTTTGAACGCAATTGTATGCATTCAACTACAGATAAAATGTATTGTTAGTGTTGTGATGAGATAACCCAACTTCCCCATTCACGATAATGGATGAACTGGTTGCCGATAAAGTACGACCACAGTCAAGAGTAAAAAAAGGTCTTCGTTTACTAACACCATTGCGGTTAGCTTACTCCTGACTGTCTCTGTATTTTGACATACCTACATCCGATGATAAAATTATTATTGAAAACCACACTCGAGTTTACTTTGTTTATTATATCTTGCACGAGATATAACAGACATTTTGTTTTAGATATGCGCTGTTGGTCATTTTAATATAAATATATATTCTGAGTCATTTTACTATAAATTAGCATTGTTGGTCATTTTAATATAAATATATATTGTTGGTCATTTTACTATAAATATATATTGTTGGTCATTTTACTATAAGTATGTATTCTGGGTCATTTTACTATAAATATGTATTGTTGGTCATTTTTTTTTTTTTTATAAAAGTATATTTCAAGGATTTTTTACAATAAAAATGTATTTTTATACTTTCATAATGTTTTGTTTTTGTTTGGGGGTTCACTATTTGTCCATAGATGGGACACTAATAGGTTCTATCAACCTGGTCCAGAGTGAACCTGGGAACAAAGGGATGTTTCTATATTTCCTCAAAACCTCCAATCTCCTAATCAAAGGCCTTGCTGCCAGATGTAGTTTATCATCCTACCCAATACTCACGCGTATGAAAGATTAATATGAAACATATGGGACAGAATACTCACCATGTTCAGCAGTATAAGCGCCAGCGCTAACCAATTTCCATGAAGACGACACAGCCATTCCAAGAGGTGGAGTGATTGTCCAATGATGACCTGTAAAATTAATCAAAAAGATTTTTCATTGTGGAACAATAAGCAAGTGATATTTTCTTTTTCATATGCTATGTCACATTTTATTATGCAAATAAATATTCTTCTTTTTCTATATACCATGTCCTTTCAGGAAGTTGCAATCATGTGCTGTCCCAATGTTCCTTCAGATTCCTGTGTTGCCCTTTCTGACTGTATTAAAATACTTCTCAGATATTTAAATTGTTGTACTTGTGTGATTTTTGCATTGCCAATTTTATAATTTGTATATTGGGCCAATCTTTTTGCTAACAAACATGCATTTTATCTTCTTGAAATTAATGTTTAGTCCTTTCTTCTTGCTTTCCTTCACTACCTTCTATAGAAGTTCTTGTAGTTTCCTTTCCGTGTCTGCTATCTACACAGTGTCTGGTTTGTAGCCACATCACATTGAAACACTGGTTTGTATACGATCACTGAAGTTAATCAATGTTGAGCTTGATCAGTACCTTGATGAGTGACCACTTAGGAATACCAGGTGCTGTAAGCTTGGATGTGCAGGTAGTGTAATGGATAATGGCCTGTAATTGTTAATCAGATAGCCGAGTTCCAATTCCCATTGTGTTCATTATATTCCCTCAAGTACCCTTGGGAAAGAGTATGAATCCACCTCTTCTTCCCACCTCAGCTATGGTTTAATTAGTAAGACTAGTATCACTAAACTGTTACTATCTCCAAAAACAATATACTTTGATCTAAAAATATTTTCTGCCTTTCAATATCTGCAAAGGGTTGACAAACTGTAGAAAAACGAATCAGTCAATAAAACATATCAGATGTTAAGTTTGTGGCTGCCAATAATGAATCCTGGTAGAACTTCTAATTTTCTCAGAATTGCCTCATTGTAAAAACTGAATAAGTCTGGTGAGAAGACCTATCCTTGTCTTACACACCTATTACAGGAAAATTCATCCTGTTATGTATTTTTTACAAGGAACTTCTTCAGACTAATAAGATTTAATGACAGAATTATTGACATTATAAATTTTAAAAATTATTATTGACATTATATCAATTATTTATTGACAGTATAAATTTTGAAAAATTATTATTGACATTAAATTTCAAAAAATTATTATTGACATTATATCAACTTTTCATTGACATATCAATTATTTACTGGCATTATATTTATTGACCACATTTTTAAAGAATTATTATTGACATAATATTCATTGGCAGTATATATAAAAGAATTATTGACAGATCATGCATTGACATTATATTTATTGACAGCATATACAAAAAATTATTATTGACATATCTATTGACAATATATATCTATAAGCCATAGAAAATGAATGAGTCAATCTAGATGTATGGGAACTCATGCTTTTGACCATATTTCTGGCCATTATAAAGATTTAGGTAAAACTATAGGGCAAAGTTTAACATACCTACCCTAAAAAATTGGTGCGTTAAAAAAACAGTTTTTTTCTTAACATGCTATAACTGTATACTCACTCGACAATGTTTAGTTTTAAAAAACTGTTTAGAATTTTAATAATAACAATACTGTTTGTTAGATTGCTTATTTATAAGATTAATTTTATAACTACAAGATTATAAAATTATCTGAACCAACTACAGTGTGACATTATGATTTAACATTTTATAAAGATTTATTATTTATAAACATCTAGATAGACCAGAAATCAAAATTTCAATTAAAAATGAGCATCTCTGTCTTAAATATTTCAGCAAAGTTTAACCAATGTACCCACAAAATAATGGTGTGTCAAAAGGATGGTCTTTCTCTTGTCACTGCCATTACTGTATATTTTAGTATATTAAGAACAATTTACAAGCTACTCTAATGAAAAGAGAAAGCAATTTACTAAGATAAAAATGTATAGAAAGTGCTTTAATTGTGAGATCATCCACAATAAATTTACATCCAGGTTCTTTATTTTATAAAAAAGATGAATATCAAAATGAATTGGTGAGAACAAATGAAAGATGTTCAGAAAATATATTTTTTTCAAATTTTTTAATTACAGTTACTTACCATTATGTGTTTATTTTCTTATTCACAGACGTTTTTATAAATAAAGTACATCCTTACTATTCAGTCATCAAAGAAAGCAACCCTTACTATTCAGTTGTCAGAGAAAGCATGCCTTTACTATCCAGTTGTCAAAGAGAGCATGCCTTTACTATCCAGTTGTCAAAGAGAGCATGTCTTTACTATCCAGTTGTCAAAGAGAGCATGCCTTTACTATCCAGTTGTCAAAGAGAGCATGCCTTTACTATCCAGTTGTCAAAGAGAGCATGTCTTTACTATCCAGTTGTCAAAAGAGAGCATGTCTTTACTATCCAGTTGTCAAGAAAAGCACTTTCTTACTATCTAGTTGTCAAAAGAGCATGCCTTTACTATCCAGTTGTCAAAGAGAGCATGCCTTTACTATCCAGTGGTCAAAGAGAGCATGTCTTTACTATCCAGTTGTCAAGAAAAGCACTTTCTTACTATCTAGTTGTCAAAGAGAGCATGCCTTTACTATCCAGTTGTCAAAGAGAGCATGTCTTTACTATCCAGTTGTCAAAAGAGCATGTCTTTACTATCCAGTTGTCAAAGAGAGCATGCCTTTACTATCCAGTTGTCAAAGAGAGCATGCCTTTACTATCCAGTTGTCAAAGAGAGCATGTCTTTACTATCCAGTTGTCAAAAGAGCATCTTTACTATCCAGTTGTCAAAGAGAGCATGCCTTTACTATCCAGTTGTCAAAGAGAGCATGTCTTTACTATCCAGTTGTCAAAGAGAGCATGTCTTTACTATCCAGTTGTCAAGAAAAGCACTTTCTTACTATCTAGTTGTCAAAGAGAGCATGCCTTTACTATCCAGTTGTCAAAGAGAGCATGCCTTTACTATCCAGTGGTCAAAGAGAGCATGTCTTTACTATCCAGTTGTCAAGAAAAGCACTTTCTTACTATCTAGTTGTCAAAGAGAGCATGCCTTTACTATCCAGTTGTCAAAGAGAGCATGTCTTTACTATCCAGTTGTCAAAGAGAGCATGTCTTTACTATCCAGTTGTCAAAGAGAGCATGCCTTTACTATCCAGTTGTCAAAGAGAGCATGCCTTTACTATCCAGTTGTCAAAGAGAGCATGTCTTTACTATCCAGTTGTCAAAGAGAGCATGTCTTTACTATCCAGTTGTCAAAGAGAGCATGTCTTTACTATCCAGTTTGTCTTTACTAAAAGAGCATGCCTTTACTATCCAGTTGTCAAAGAGAGCATGTCTTTACTATCCAGTTGTCAAAGAGAGCATGTCTTTACTATCCAGTTGTCAAGAAAAGCACTTTCTTACTATCTAGTTGTCAAAGAGAGCATGCCTTTACTATCCAGTTGTCAAAGAGAGCATGCCTTTACTATCCAGTGGTCAAAGAGATGCCTTTACTATCCATGCCATTCTTTACTATCTAGTTGTCAAAGAGAGCATGCCTTTACTATCCAGTTGTCAAAGAGAGCATGTCTTTACTATCCAGTTGTCAAAGAGAGCATGCCTTTACTATCCAGTTGTCAAAAGAGCATGTCTTTACTATCCAGCCTTTACTATGTCAAAGAGAGCATGTCTTTACTATCCAGTTGTCAAAGAAAGCATGCCTTTACTATCAGTTGTCAAAGAGAGCATGTCTTTACTATTTCATGTCTTTACTAAGTTATCCAAAAAGCACTTTCTTACTATCTAGTTGTCAAAGAGAGCATGCCTTTACTATCCAGTTGTCAAAGAGAGCATGCCTTTACTATCCAGTGGTCAAAGAGAGCACTCTCTTACTATCTAGTTGTCAAAGAGAGCATGCCTTTACTATCCAGTTGTCAAAGAGAGCATGTCTTTACTATCCAGTTGTCAAAGAGAGCATGCCTTTACTATCCAGTTGTCAAAGAGAGCATGTCTTTACTATCCAGTTGTCAAAGAGAGCATGTCTTTACTATCCAGTTGTCAAGAAAAGCACTTTCTTACTATCTAGTTGTCAAAGAGAGCATGCCTTTACTATCTAGTTGTCAAAGAGAGCATGCCTTTACTATCCAGTGGTCAAAGAGAGCATGTCTTTACTATCCAGTTGTCAAAGAGAGCATGCCTTTACTATCCAGTTGTCAAAGAAAATGTCATCTTTACTATCCCATTAATGAAATATGTTCTATCCTAAGACTAAGATTATTTTTTTGTCACTTACCTTGCATTATGCTTTTACAAGCCTGGATAACATTTTTGTAACTGGGTACAAACCATGTTCCCACATTCGTAGCGGCAATCAAACCTCCACTTCTTGGAGAAGTAAGTAACTGTGATAATTTCTGTGGATCAAGTCTTTCAGCTACTGACCGCATCATGTCGGTCATTGTGGGGTCCATCATGAAGTAGTCACTAAAGGCCACCTGCAAGAACAAGATTATCAATAGAAATAAACAATGATTCATAATAATTGATAAGAAAACATCATTTTCAGAACCATGGCCGTTACACTTTCATAACATTAAGGAGAGTAAAAAGAGAAACAGATTTTTTTTTTGTAGTCTAATTATTTTACTGCATAGAAAATGGAACCAACAAATTAAGTTCAAATTCCAGCTTTGACAGTTTTTCATTTTGCACAATGCAAGCAGGAATCAATTATTTTTTGCCTTAGTTATGAGTAAAATAACAGGGCATATTGGCATCACCAGCCCTAGTTGGTAAACAGTCTAGAAGGACAAGTCTGAACTCAAAATTTCAAAGTTGAGCAGTGGTCTAGCAACTCCATTCCGTAAAATTTACTTCTTACTGAAACTGAAGCAGCAAGTGTGCAGTTGTAGTCTTCAAAGAAAAAAGAGAAACAACAATGGAAAAGGAAAGTAAATGATGTGGAGAGAAGATAAAGGAATTTAGGTGAAAAGAGTCAACTTTTAGAAAAAATGTGAAGATAAGAAAATTTTGGGATAGTGAATGCAAAAAGAGCAACAAATAAGGATAAGAAGGCAAAGAAATGGGAAAACAAACAGACAATTAAAAAGAATGGAAAAGAGTTGGAACTAGTATGATGTAGGGTGACTTTTTTGGATATTAGTTTGTTGATGTGATACCATTTACTAACGATAAAAAAAGGACAAGATCTTCTGAATAAAAATCGACTACCATAAATTGAAAAAACTGGGAGGTTGTTGGCATGAATTTGTTACTTGCAGGTGATACTTGATTAAATATGTAACCCTATGAGGGGGTAAATCTGAGGTTTTATCTTGATCACAAGATTTTTTGTTTTTTTATGGCCAGCGAATAAGCTCTTTGAAGTGGCAGCCACCTGACCGAAAAGGAACATGAGAATAAAGATCAATTGACAATGAAAAACAGACATTGAAGATTTTCAACCCTAGGCTTAGCAGCCACAGTTGACACTGAAGAAGCCAGTCTGTCCCGCAAGTACTTCCAATGCTGAGCGTTTGTGTTGTCAGCCATGCATTGTGATGTTGAGACAGGCAGAGAGTTGGTAACAGAGTGGGAAAGTCAAAGAAAAGAGCTGTTAATCCAACATGGCCAAAGCTGTCTCAAGTGTCACCTACCTACTCACCTAGACTGAGGAAGTGAAGCCCTTAATAAACACCTAAATATATTGTAAACATGGCTTGTATTCATGTCACACTGTGGCATTTGTTTTTGTTTTTCATTTCCTTGTAAGCCAGAAGTGGGCCTTTCCTAATTTTTGGTGCACACTAACAAGAATGGAGATGCAACATGGGGTGATTTTTGGCTGGTTAGTGAAAAGCTGGGTGAGGGTCCTGTTGTACACATTTCTTAAATTCCAATGATATATGATATATGATATTGTAAAGCCATAATTAAGAAAAACTTAATAAGGCAAACTTGTCCTTGTCTCACATGAACAAGGCACAGCAAGAAATACAACCTATATATTTATAAATAAGTTCAATATCACAGTGAAATGAGTAGAGATACACAACAGAATAATGGGTCTATTCAATAAAGCAATGTTGAAAGGAAAGTCAAACTGTACTAAAGTCAAATAAAAAGTTAGGATAAGGAAACACAATACAAATTGAGTGAAGTATAACTTACTTGGTACCACATTCCTTGTCCGAACGGATGTTCCCGAGTAACATTGGTACAGAACCAAACCTGCCCTTGGGTATCCACACACCATCCAGTGTTATTGTCACCCAAGGCAATGCTCATCATTTCAGGGACATGGCAGTTGGCAGGACTAAAGTGAAATCAAATTATACATAAATATTATACAGTTTAGAAAGACATGCAATATGCTAAATATTTGGGGTCACTTTCTAGAATTAATAATTAATAAGTTTCCTATCTTCTTTGGTTTAATTAACTCCTACTAAGCTAGGATATTGAAATTATTTGACCCATATGGTGGAGTAATGGATAGTGGCTCGAATTGAGGGATCAGAGAGCTAAGTTCTAATTCCAGTCAAATCCATTACATTCACTTACATGTTAATACACTTGGGAAAGGTATAAATCCTCTTCATCTCCCCCCAGCTATAGGTAAATATCAGGAGAGACCAGGTTCTTTAGCCTTGGATGGGAACTGGTCTACAGCAGAAAGAAATGGCAACCTAGTGTAGGGAAAAAAATCTGCCTCGCCAGTCATGTATCGAAAGATACATGATCGACTAAGCATGTATCACACATGGCACATAACTGACTGAGTATATGGTACCCAGTTGTATAGAGAGTAGGTTCCCTAAAATTTTAAATATACCAGACTTAAGATTACCATTAGCCAGCAGGGTAGATTAAGCCAGGACTGAAACCCAACTGATTTAGCATCAGTCAGAGATTCTAAACACTAGGTTATCGGCACCCGGCAGAGAGAAAGGTGAATATTATATATTATACAAAACTTAATAAACTGTGCAAAATCAAATTCTTCAAAAAAAGTATTTTCTATACTAAATTAAAAAATATTAAACAAACCCACATTAATAACGACTTTCCTAATTACGTCATTGATGAACAAATTAGACGAGCTATTGAGAATATAAACATAAATAAAAAATGAATACATCATAAAATCACTCTAAACATATCAAATTACTATACAATCAAATGTATTCTACCTATAAGAAGGAAGAAAAAATTCTAAAGAGATTTATAAACACTAATGTATCCGCTACTGATTCAAGTAAAAAAGTGAGGTTGGTTGTATACTATACTAAATTTAATACACCCAATCCAGTTGTCAAAAACAGTTCTTCTCCATCAACTAGCATCTTACAAAAGGCCAACATTGTATATCAATTTAGATATCCTTTGAGAGATTGCATCTCTGATGAAAAATGTTAATACATATGTTGGTTTTGCAACGATGCTGTCAAGAAGGCTTACATTTCACATAGTTCAATCTTGCAGCATACTCATATCCACATTCATGGTTTAGACTGGTATTAGTAAAAAAAAAAATCTATATTACACCAAAATAATAAGCAAAAACTTAAAACCCTAAAAGCCCTCCATATAAGAGAATTAAAGCCCCAAATAAATAAAGTCACCTATGAGTATAGCCATAAACTTCATAAATGTTTGTAGCATCAAATTTATATATATATATATATATATATAAAATAATAAATAATAGGGGAATACAAAAGTTGCCTCCCTTGTAGAAAAAAAAACCTTGTGATTTTGAAATTCATATATAATGATAAAAAACGCAGTATAACGAATAGTAAAAATATACACACACAAACAATTTAACCTCCTGAAAATGGTCTCAGATTAGACTGAAAGTACTTAGGAAAATAAAATTTATTTGAGAGAAAATTTTGGTATTTTCTTTAATCAATTTTCTATGGCTACCAAACTTTATTAAAAATCAAGAAGATCAAAATATAAAAAAACATATTGTGAGCAAAACTGTTCTAATCTTTCTATATATAAAATTCTGTGATTTCCATCCATCTGTCCGTCCATCACACCCTCTAAAATAGACATACATTGACCAAATAAAACTAAATTTTGAGGATAAGTGCCATCAGATAAGAGGGTACAAAGTACAGTTGATTTTACGAGGGTGTGTAGTTAGTTTAGTACAGTAAATTTTCATTAATTTTTTTGGAAAAATTAAAAGTTTTATTTAACATACAAGATACTCCCACTATTTTAAAAACAATTTAATGATTAAAATAAATACTTATTTAAATAAAAAGGCAATATTGTTTTTTTCCATATATTTTCCTTAAGTCTTTATATAGATTTCATTTTGCATTTGTCCAAACAAATCAGCTTGTTAAATTTCATCAATTGGTTTGCAAAATTGAACGAAATATACAGTTTGTAAATCTCGACAAAAAATGTTAGTGATAAATTCAACAATCCTAAATACCATGAGGATTGCAACATTTGTTAGCATGTTGCAAAAAAAAAATCCAATTCTAAACATTATACTGATTCCCAAAGAATAAATATTGCTGACAGGATATATCAAATACCTTTTCTAAGTAAATCTAACAAACTCAACCAGAATTTGAACTTGGCTCTCTGATTCTTCAATCTGTGCCAATATTTATTACACCGCTGTGTCTCCCCATTCCTTGTATTATGCGCAAGAAAATTCGGTATGTTGTTTTCTTCCTCCTCTTTTACTTACCTTTCATATTTGCACCATTCGTCTCCTTCCGGATGTTGGTCAGAGACTCCAGTGCGACACACCAACTGCAGATCTCTGGTCAAGCCCCAAACAACTCGGTCAAGGCAAGCTAACTGGATTAGGTCATATTCACACGGGATTTTTTGACTGCGATAAGCAGGCCGTTCACGTGATAAGTCCTTGTGGACAGCAATTTCACCATTTAATTTTATGTACCTAGAAAAAAAGCAAAAAAAAAAGCATAGAGAATCTTTTATTTCAAGCAGTGCATAAAGAAAGTAAATATTAATGAGAATTGTGCATTGAACAGGCAAACAAGCAGAATTTTCTGAATGATTTTTAATTTTTCTTTTATATTAATAAAATAATAAAAGTTACCAGGAGATTTTAGAAGTATTCAACTGGCTAAGAAATAAAACAAAGATAAAGGAAGGAAGAAAATAAGGAAAAGAAAGAGAAAAAAAGAATGAAAAGGAAGAAAGAGAAAGAAAGAAAAAAGAAAAAGAAAGAAAAGAAAAATAGAGAGAGAGAGAGAGAGAGAGAGAAAAGAAAAATAGAGAGAGAGAGAGAGAGAGAGAAAAGAAAAATAGAGAGAGAGAGAGAGAGAGAGAAAAGAAAAATAGAGAGAGAGAAGGAAAAGAGAGAGAAAAGGAAGAGAGAGTAAAGAAATAAGGTAGAGAATAGGGAAATAAGAAAGTAAAAATAAAATAAGAGAGAAACAAATGAAATAAGATAAAAAAGAAAAAGGAAAAACCAAAAAAAAGAAAAAGGAAAAGCTCCCCCCCCACACACACACACTAAAAAAAGAGAATGCAAATAGGAAAGAAGTAAAAGAAAACAAAGGAGAAAAAAAGAAGGAAAAATGAAAATGACAAAAAGAAAAAAAGGAAAAGCCCTCTCCCCAACCAAAAAAAAGAGAATGCAAATAGGAAAAAAAGTAAAAATGACAAAAGGAGAAAAAAAAATTAAACCAAAAGGAAAAGAAAGAAAACAGCAAGTAAATTATTTATATTTTTAAAATTTTTGGCTTACATAAGGAATTTTAGTGCTACAAGGGTAGACTGAAAAATTCAGAGTTGACTATGAAGCAGTGATGCTAGAGTCATGAAATCCTGCATGCATTAATTTCAAATCTTCTGATAACTGCATTGTATCTTTTCAGGTAAACTGACATCTGACTGTTCATCCTGTCGGTCAGAAACATTATCAACAGCAGATACCATATCATCATCACTGCAATACCGGTTCCCAGCCAAGTGTTTTTTCATGTTGGGGAACAGATGATAGATGGAACCGAATCAAGAGAATAGGTAAGGTGGGTGATCAACTAGTTCAAAACCACAGTAGATGAAATGACCTTGGCCTTCTTTGGAGCAAGTAAGGAAGGGTGTTTCCATTGGATGGATTGTTTCTTTGTCTCTGGTTCAAAGTGATGAATCCAACACTCATCCTGGGTCAGGAAATGTTCAAGGAAACCAGCTGGATCTGCTTTAGACAATGTGATCAGCCTGTTGCCTTTTCATCAGGTGTCAGAAGACATGGCACCCACCAAGCAGAAACCTTCATCATGCCAAGTTCATTGTGCAGAATATTCTCAACTCTCTCACGAGATATGCTAATAGCATTGGCTATTTGATTTATAGGCAATCACCTGTCATCCATCACCATGCAGTGAACACAATCAATGTTTTCTTTAATGTTAGCAATTGTAGTATGTCCAATATATCTTCAATACTCTCTCTTCTCCAAAAAATTCAGCTGCCCACTTTTGCACTGTTGATAAAGGTGGAACATCATCCCCTAATGTTGCAACAATGTCAACATGAATGTTCTTGGGGGCTAAACCCTTTTTCTGCAGGTACTTGATAATATCATAATGCCAAATTTTGCCTATTTTCAAGAGAATTTGCTACTTGTTACTCTTGATGTTTTTTTTTTATTTTACCTGAAAAGAAACAATGCACTTATTAATAAGAAGAGTTGAAATTAATGCATGCAAGATTTCACAGCTCTAGCATCACTCATTCATAGTCAAACTATGAACTTTTAAACCCACCTTTGTATAAGAATTTCCTTGTCTATTACACATTTATAATATATATGTGTGTGTGGGGGGTGCACACACACATTTTTCTCATTAATATAAACATTACAAACATGTAGAAATACAATACAAAATTATTTGATTAAAATGCTTTCATGTAAACAAATAAAATTGAGGCTATCACCTTCCCTGCAGATAAAGTGAACTTGGCCTCCTTTGGAGCAGGCAAGGAGGGGGTGTTTCTACTGCATGGATTGTCTCTGGCTCAAAGTGATTAAGCCAACAGTTACCCTGGGTTAAGAAATGTTCAAGGAAACCAGCTGGATCTGCCTCAAACAATGTCAGATTTTCCCGTGATATGATTAGCCTGATAATAGTACTTTTGATCAGGTGTCAGAAGATGTGACCTCCCCACAAACCACCAACACTGAGCAGAAACTATTGTCATGCCAAGTTCATTGTGCAGAATATTCTCAACTCTCTCTTGGGATATGCTAATAGCATTGGCTATTTGATTTATAGGCAATTACCTGTCATCCATCACCATGCAGTGAACACAATCAAAGCTGGAGTGTCATCCCCTAAAGGGTATTAGCATGTAAGTGAATCCATTACATTCACCTATGTACTGATACACTTGGGAAAGGTATGAATCCTCTTCTCCCAGCTATGGATAAATAGCAGGACACACCAGGTTCTATAGCCTTGGATGGCAACTGGTCTACTGCAGAAAGAAATGGCAACTTACTGCAGGAAAACATCTGCCTCATCAGTCATATATCGAAAGATACATGATCACCTAAGCATGTATCACGCATGGCACATAACTAATTGACTGATGTCAGCATGAATATCCTTAGGAACTAAATCCTTTTTTTCTGCAGCTACTTGATAACACCATGATACCAAATTTTGTCTATTTTCAAGAGAAGTTGATACTAGTTATTTTTGAAGTCTTCTTTGAACAGTCAAATGTCAGTTTACCTGAAAAGAGACAATGCAGAGATCTGAAATTAATACATGCAAGATTTCACAGCTCTAACATCACTCTTTTATAGTCAGCCTACAAAGTTTTCAGCCCAACCTTATATAGACCAAAAAGGGTTCTTCTCTTACTAACACCCAAGCTGCTTCTATGTTCTGTGACCATCACTATTTTTAATCATGCACATTTAATATTTACAGCTTAATTTTTGAGAAATAAGTTTTTAATAAATTGTTTTTTTTATGTCTTGTTTATAAAGCAAACATGGGTTATCCACCAAATAAATAGATAAATATCCAATCACTTATCCAAAACACTTGGGGTAAAACATTTCAGAATTTGAAATTTTTCAGATTCCAGAATGGTAGTATATACGTGCCATATATCCTGGAATTAACTAGTATTAAAACCCAATTTTTCAAGATGCCAAAATGGTAATGGTAATAACTGTCATTTTGGTGTAAGGAAATATTTAGAATTTGTTGACTGAGCAGCCGGTACTGTTTTCTGTTGGAATTTATAAAAACTTTCTCTTAAAATATTTTTAGGAAAACAGCTTTCTCAAGTCCAGTAGCTGCTACCACTCTTTCCAGTATTGAGGGAGATTTCCTTCCAATCTTTGTATTTGATGTGGTGTGGGACATTAACAGCTTGATTATGTCATTATTTTTTCTTCAAGTTACATCCATTTGAGCTGTTGCTTCTATTGGTAGTTGTCAAGTGATGTGGTTTCTGTTATTTGATACAGTTCTTTGTGATTCTGTAGCACCAATGCAAAATGTTCAAAGCAGGATGATCTTTGCCAAGACCCTGAGGCTTTACTTGATCAAAGTCTTTTTTCACTATTAATCTGAGGAATCAGTTGTATACAGCTGATAGTTTAGATATTTCTGAACAAGTTCAAAGCCATGCATACCATCCATATGAAAGTCTCAATCTAACAAAACTATTTAAAAACATGACTTGAATTTTCAGGTTGATGTTTTGGTTTTGCAGTAATTTGTGGTGTTGCGTGAAACTACTTCTGGCACAACCTATTCTATGTTCAATAAGCTGTACTGCAAGAGCATGACATTCATGAATGACACAGACACATGAATATTTCTATATTGAATTTTATGAATGAAAATTCTTATATTTCTATTTAATTTGTATAGCAATAAAGTGTTAATGTCAATAGAAATGATAATATACCTTTTATTTCACAGGTAAAATATAAGATATACATAAAGTTAAATACCTGTACATATAAAAAACAATAAAAATAGTAACAGAGAGTAACAAAGGCTTTTGTGTCAAACATGCACATGACTTCCACAAAGACGTTTTAGTTTTCAAAGATTTTTAGCTAAGAGACTGTATTTATGTATCCTTGTATACTTCGCATGACTTACGCTTGGCATCTCAAGAAATGCATATTGCTTACCAGCCACAGTCTTCATCAACAGCTATATATGTAACATCCCGGATTGCCTCTACCTGCTTCTTGCCTTCTACCTTTTTGGAACTGATTCCTGTGCCAACGTAGACTGTATTCTGGTGAAGACGCCACCAGATATAGCCTGATCGAGATACGGCTATTTGCTGTGCAGCAAGGTCAACTTTTTGCCAGGCCCCAGACATTGAATCTGTTTGTCGATAAAACAGATTCTCACTCCTGAAAAAGACATTAGAAAATAATAAATTGAGGGTATTAGAGTGAGTAAGGTCAGAAGTAAGATAGAGAGAACAAATTAGATAGGGAGAGGAGAGAGCAATCATGTATGAGGAGGGAGGGGGAAGAGCAAATTAGACGAAAGGAGGGACAGAGAACAGATAAATTATGTTGAAGATGAGAAAGTGAGCAAATTGGAGAGAGTAAAACGGAAGGAGATAGAGAGAGTGAATTAGGTAGAATGAGAGGAGGGAGGGAGACCGAATTAGGCGGAACGGGAGGAGGGAGGGAGACCAATTTAGATGGAACGGGAGGATGGAGGGAGACCGATTTAGGCGGAATGGGAGGAGGGAGGGGGAGACCGATTTAGGTGGAATGGGAGGAGAGAGGGGGACTGATTTAGGCGGAATTGAGGAGGGAGGGAGACTGAATTAGGTGGAAGGAGGGAGGGAGAGCTCATTAGGCAGAATGGAAGGAGGGTGAGAGAGCAAATTGGGCAGAACGGAAAGCGGGAGAGAGCAAATTAGGTAGAATGGAAGGAGGGAGAGAGACTGAATTAGGTAGAACAGAAATAGGGTGAGAGAGTGAATTATATCGAGCAGAGTGAGTGAGAGAGAGTAAATTAGCTAGAACAGAAGAAGTGGGAATGAATTAGATCAAGCAGTGGGACAGAGATTGAATTAGATAGAGCAAAGGAGAAAAAATGAATTAGGTAGAATGGAGGGAGGTGTAGATTAGAGAGAGAGAGAGAGTTTGTTTTATTTAATGGCATATCAACTTGTAGCACCAAATACCAAAGCAAATAGGGTTTCGATTTTACATTTGTGCATTATTATTTTGTGATTAAATTAAGTTTTATTTTTAACATTATATTTATGCCAAAATTTTTAGTCAGTTTTTCTATTTATAAATTATTCTTATGTTAAATTAAAAGGTTTTTGGTAAAAAGATGTGTTTCTTTTAAGAATTTAAAAATGTTATCTGGATTGACCCTGGTTAAGAATTCTTTCATGTTATTTGTTTGGTAATATTTGATTTGGGCTAGTTTCAGGCCCTTACAAATTGTCAGCACATGGCTTACTGTGTACTTTTCCTAGCATGTCATGCATATTGGGTCATCCTCCCCCCTTTAGTACGTCTGACTGTATGATAAGATGTGTGTCTTATATGAAACTTGGTCAGTATCACCTCTTTTCTGAACAGTGTGTAGATCTGCCACTTTCCTATAGTCAGTTTTATTTTATGTAATTTATTGTTTGGGCAAGAGTCATAAAGCTCTTGCCACCTTTTTGCCATATATTTATTGATAGTTTATTTGTAATCTGTGTATGGTATTTTAATGTTTAATTTCTTTGTTACTGTATTGACTGTCATTTCCCTGAATGCCAATATGACTTGGTATCCAGCAAATATGATGTTTTTGTTTATTTGAGATGTCATTGATTTGGTTCAATAGTCTGACTGTTAATGGGTTTGTAATTTTCTTACTTTTTACTGATACAAGTACCAACATGGTATCTTGGAGTTGTTCCTTGTTATGAAATCTAGGGCTAAGTCAATAGCTGATAGTTTAGTACTATACCAGGTGTAACAGCAAAATTTTCTAATTGTTAGATTAAGCTTTGAACCATTGCATCTTAGAAATGATTAAAGATATCATACTGGAATTTTTTGAGGTTTTTATAACACTATTGGACTCTACTTTGATCAATAAGAATGTATAATTACTCTCCAAGCTTAATAGAAGAATTGTGTTGAAATCAATCATAAACGAAAATGATGTTCATCATTAATTAATCATATCTAAGGATCGGAAGCTCATGAAGTATTGAAATAAAGTTCATATATATATATGTATTATATATATATGTATTATTTCAGGATCATTTTCCAACTTCTTCCTGATGATCTTCACCCTCTCTAACCTTCTAACTTTCTGTCCTGGAGTAACAAGGTGCCTCACAGGTTTCACATACGATTTCATTTTCAAGTCTTTTTTCACTGCTCTTTGGACTGTCACAGCTGAAACTCCTCTCTCACGTGCCAAATGTCTTATGGATTAAGTTGGATGTTTTCTAACTAATCCCTTTAGCTCTAAGTTGAAATGTTGATCCCTCTTCCTGTTGTGACCTTCTGATCCAGTTTTTGTCTCTACTGTTCCATTTTTTTAAAACTTATTCACCATTCTCTTGATGGTTCTTGAATGGACTTTGAAGATGGAAGCCAGAGTATGAATGTTGGTACCATTAATGAAGGCCTGAATGATTTTTTTCCTCTCATCATTGCTTATTTGGAAAGACAGTGGGGCTAAACAAAATGATTTTAACCAATTTGCTTTCTAGCTGAATAACTCAAAGGGATTTTCAGTGATTCTTATGACAAATGGTGTCAAGATGGCAAAGTGTCTTATCTAAAAACCTGGAAAAAAGAAACTCGGGTTAGTGGGTTTTTTTAGATATTAAATATTTTGTGGGATGGACAATTTTGCTGTTACACCCAGTATATGGAGGTTTTATCTGGGAGCCACTTTACTAGCTTTGTTTTGTTGAGAACTGTAGCACATCCCATTTTATCTCCATCTTTCAATCCATCAGTGTATATTGGAAGATGGTCAGGGTAATTGTTTCGGATAGAAAGTAGTTTGTCTTGGAAAGTAATGGGATTGGTTTTAGCTTTAGGATATTTGCAAAGTTCCAGAGTGTTTAATTAGCTGGGGGGGACATGTAGTTTTTGCTAGAAGTTGGGAGGGATTGAGATTGAATTACGTAGGAGGAGGAGGAGAGGAAGCAAATTAAGTGGGAGAAGAAGGGAGCAAATTAGGTAGACAGAGGGAGGGAGGGAAAGGGAGCAAATTAGGTAAAAGGAGGGTGAGAGACAAAATAGGAGAGAGAGGGAGGAAGAGAAAGTGAATTTTGGTGAAGGGAGAGAGAGAGCAAGGGTATATGATGGAGGAGAAGGAGTAAACAGTGAAAGAAAGGATCACAGGGGTGAGGGAGAGCGAAAGAAAGGATCACTGGAGTGAGGGAGAGCGAAAGAAAGGATCACAGGGGTGAGGGAGAGCGAAAGAAAGGATCACAGGGGTGAGGAAGAGCGAAAGAAAGGATCACAGGTGTGAGGGAGAGCAAAAGAAAGGATCACAGGAGTGAGGGAGAGCAAAAGAAAGGATCACAGGAGTGAGGGAGAGCAAAAGAAAGGATCACAGGAGTGAGGGAGAGTGAAATAAAGGATCACTGGGGTGAGGGAGAGCGAAAGAAAGGATCACTGGGGTGAGGGAGAGTGAAAGAATGGACAACTTTAGCATAAACATTCCCAATAAATCTTTTGATAGAATTTTTGCTGTGTCACTTTATAAACAATCATTAATGAGAATGAAAGTTTTGTTTAATAACCTTACCCATGACAACTGTCAGTATTAAAATAAACAATATATTTTTTTACTGTAAACACATTTCTGATACATTTGTGTCGGCTTCAGTGCATTCCTAAAATAAAACACATTCATAATGAATTTCTATATATACTTTCAGCTTTTACTGTGTCACTCTGTATATAGTCATTAGCATGAATGGAAGTTTGGATAGATTTGTGTCATTAACCTTAACATTTTAGATAAATAGCTTGAAGATTTATAAGAACTATTTTGTTTTTGAAATTGCAAAAGAAATATGTATTTGTTTTTTTTTTTTAGAGAAAGAGAAAATATCTTTTTAAATCATGTGATGTATATTTTCAAATAAGCTGTTGCTTTTTTTTAATTTTGGATCACTATATTTGAGGAAGGATGTGCATTGTGTTGTAATGGAGTGTGAACTCAGAGAGCCGAGTTCAAATCCCAGTTGAGTTTATTGGATTCACTTGCACATAAATACCCTTGGGAAAGGTATGAATCCATCTCTTCTCCCCCAGATATGGGTTGAATAGCAAGGCAGACTGGGTTCTATACCCTTGGCTCTCAACCAGTCTGCTGCAGAAAGAAATGGTAACCTACTGCAGGAAAAAATCTGCCTTGTCAGTCATGTATAGAAAGATACATAATTGTCCAAGCATGTATCAAGTATGGTACTTAACTGACTGATATTTGAGGGTATCTCTAGCTATGTGTTAAATAGCAGAGTAGAAAGGAAGACATAAGGACAACTCTGAATTCAAAGCTGTGCAGAAGGCAATGGAAAACCACGTCACTATTTTTCCCAATAAACCACAGATAATAAAAGAATCCCTTATGAATGATCACCTATATCCTAAAAAAAAAAAAAAGGATGGTATATTAGGACCACTTTTTCCAAAAACAATGGTTCAAAAAGTATCCCTTGGGTCTTATATGTGAAGTTGAGGTATACACTACAATTTATTTTATTAATATGCTGAAGTTGTACAATAGATAAGATTACCAGAAATTTTTTGTAAAAAGATACTTTTTTTTGTTTCAAAATCTATAATCTGGAGTGCCTAATTAATAGCAATAAAAAAATAAGAATTCAAATTATGAATTTAAAAAAATATTTTTTTTTAATTTTAAGAAATCACATTCTGTCTATATCTCTGAGATGAGGTATATCAGGTCATCCCATAAGTTCTGTCCGAATTTTAACTTTTTGTTAAAATGAACAAAATTTAAAGAGTATTTTATAATGTCTAATGGAGCTGAACATTATTTTTATGTTTAGATGCATCAAATTTTATTTCAGAGAACAATAAAATTAAATTTTGTTTGATTAAAACCCTGCTAACATGGAAGTACCCAAGAATCATTTCAGGCACATAATGCTCTATGAGTTCAAGAAAGGAAACTCAGCAGCCGAAGCGGCTAGAAACATTCACTCAGTTTATGGAGAGGAATGTGTGAATGAAAGAACTTGCAGAAGATGGTTTGCAAAATTCAGAGGTGGAGATTTCACCCTTGAAGATGAAGATCAAACAGGATGTCCAGTTGAGTTTGATGAAAAGCTTCTTGAAGCAGCCCTTGAAGAAAATCCTGCTTTATCAGTTGAGGAATTGGCAGTGGTTCTCAGTTCAAACCATAGAACTGTTCATCGTCATCTTCAACAACTTGGAAAAGTTCCTAAACTTGGAAAATGGATGCCTCATGAATTGTCTGAAAACAACCTCAAATCCTAAGTTGACATCTGCTTTTCTCTCCATTCTCGCCAACTTGTTTCACCTTTTTTGGATAGATTTGTGACTGGCGACGAAAAATGGATCTTTTATAGAAATGTTAAGCGTCATAGACAGTGGCTTGGTAAAGGGGAAGGACCCCAGCCACAGCCGAGAAGGGAACTTCATGGGCAAAAGGTTCTTCTTTCAATCTGGTGAGATCGCCAAGGAGTAATCCACTTTGAATTCTTACCACCTAATGCAACAATTAATGCTCAAATATACTGTCAGCGATTAGAGCATTTGAACCAAGCTTTGAGGAAAAAAAGACCTACTTTAGTGAATCGAAGAAGTGATGTTTCATCAGGACAATGCGCGACCCCATACAGCAAGAATCACACCACAAAAGATTGAAGAACTTGGTTGGGAGAAAATTACTCATCCACCTTATTCTCCCGATCTTGCTCCTTCAGACTACCATTTGTTTTGTAGCTTACAGAATCATTTGGAAGAAACAGTTTTTGTAACACAGGAAGAGGTTAAAATTGACATTTGTGAGTTCTTCAAATCAAAGCCAAAAGAATTTTACAGTAATGGAATTAGTAAGCTTGTTAATAGATGGAAGGAAGTCATAGATAATCAGGGAAAATACATTGTTGATTGAATCTGTAATTAAATGTAACATTTGGTCACTTGTTTTCTTTATTCAAAATTCGGACAGAACTTATGACCGGATAATTACTTGCCTTATTTACAATATTTGGACTGTTATCCTCATCTTCATTGCCTTATTCACAATGTTTCGGCCGTTGTATGCTCTGACCTTCTTCAGGTGATTGGAATTGTGAACTGAACCCTTTATTTCATCCACCAGTGTAGATTGTTCTAGTTCTATGTGCCATGCTTCTTCATACGGAAGAGGCATGACACATGGCCCCTGGATAAAGACGTTGGTTATATCCAGTGACTAGACCTGAAGAGTTCTGAGTTCAATACCAGGCCACAGCCGTGGTGAACCAAAACTTGGAGTGTTGAGTTAAAGGGAAATAACTGAGACATCCAGAAGTGGCATGGCATGTGGAACTGTCTTATAAAATTTATAATTTACTAAAGCTTTACAGGTTGTATATGGACAAGCTGCATGACACAAGCACATTATTATGAAAACATTGTGCCATCAAATAAGACCCTCATTTACTTCAAAGGGAAATTATATTGAACAATTTAGATATATTATGATGTAATATGTTATACAGTACAGTAGTTTTAGTGTGATTTTTCTATTAACAATGCAAATTTAAAACATTTTGACTTATAATTTGTGCCCAGTACTATTATGGTGTTATATAAACTTTTATCTATTTTTTGTTTTTATTAATTATGATCTAACAAATCTTATTCATTCAGCAGACAATTTTTTACAATTTTTTTTACACAGTTTTTATTTATCAAATACAATAAAAAAAATGCATATTTTGCTTATGGTGATTCATAATTAGAATTCTGGTTTGAATATATTTTCCATTCAATGTACCTAATACAAAAGATATCAAATTTATTTGGATTTAATTTAATTTTAGCAAAATTTTGAAGTCAGTTCGTAAGCAAAAACCTATGGAAATTATGTATTTCTGTACATTTTTTTTTCAGACAATCTTTAAAACTAAATGCTCAGAAATTGTAAAAGCCATGAATCTAATTTTTGGTGGCAGTACTTATCACATCAAAGCCAGGCTTTCATGTCAAGTGCAATGTTGATTTTCTAAAATATGAGAAAAATCAATCTGCCCTAATATTCCATCTGTCTAAAAGTCTGCAAAACACATCCGTATCCATAAAAGTTGAGCACCCCCCCACACACACACAGAGAAAGTAAATAAATATCAATATTATACATTTAGTCTATAAACAAACATAACAAATATACTATATTTGATCTCATATAACATAACCCTACCCTTTACTTGCCATAAAAATGGGTAAAGAAATATCATCTTGGTTTTATATGGGAAGTTGGGCTATATTGCATACTAATGTTTACCTAGATGAAATTGACTACCAATACTTATAGCCATTTAGTAAGCATAACTTACATGTATGACAAAGGCAAAAGTATGGAGCACCCAGTAAGGATCAAACTCATTATTTAGTTGTAATTGACCTAGTGAGACAAGCTTGTTAACCATTACATGACGTGGAAGTATACAACTCCCAATACTTGGTAAATCTCTTATAATGTAATGCTAAATTTAAATTGATTGAAATTTTTCTATAGCACCAAATACATTATGTTTTTCAATGAGAGCTTGGAACAAATGCTTACAAAAACACCTTCATTGATATTTCAGATATAATTTGTGTTGTGTCCTTTCAGATCATGGCTCTCCAAAACTTCCTATACTTTCTAGCTCTTTTTACTACTACTCTCATTCTTCAGATATAACAGTGATCAAGAAATGTTTATATCACTTACCTATCAGAATACCAAATATGCATGTGTGTGACAGCCAAGCTATTGATGTTTTCAGGCACACCCCACACCAACCAACTGTTCACCAATTTTGGCAGGAGTACCTGCCTGTGTATCACATCTTTCTTCTCACTCTCTTTCTCTTCCGAGTTCTGCTGTGGTTCCTTGCTAGGTTTTGTCGTTGTCGACTTTATACTAAGCATTGGAGAGTCTAAAAAGTTGCCAGCAGACGCTGACCGATACATTCTGTAAAAGTCCTCTTCTGTAGCCGATTCCAAGCTATCTGATCGTGGCAGATTACAGGCAGATTCCAGCTGTGCCCAGGGTTGTTCAACCTGATGTAACTGGAATGTGTCCATGTCTTTTTTGGAGAGACTTCTTGGACGTGCATTTTTCTTTCTTGACACTGGCTTCTCCCTCAGGATTGTCTGGTTTTCTGCAGGCATGTTGTCAAATGTCGGAATGTCGTCAATTTTCATTTGATATGTATTATCTATCATCTTTTCCAAAGGTGAGATTGCCTTGTCGACGCATGATTTACTCAAGTCAGCGGGTGGGAACAAAAGATTATCATTGGTTGAGGCTTCCTTGGGTTCATTTAATGAAGATGGGTCACTCTCAGATTTAGTCACCGGGGCTGGTTGCAATTCTTTTGGTGGGAACACTGAAGATGTACTCGGAGCACTGGACTTTCGTTTGTATATAGTGTCTGTAACTTTCCAGACATCATCTCTGTACAAATTTCTGGAAAGATCCAGTCCGTTATTGGCCAGTAATGTCCCAGGATCAAACTCTGGTGGCGACTCAAGTTTTGTATCATCTGCTACAGACTCAACAGTAGAAGTTCTTGCTGGTTCTGGAGAATCAGCACCTTCGCCTTGCTTTCGCTCCAGAGGGGGACTCTCGGACATCCCAGGCAATTCATCAACGTTATTTGAAATCCCATCAACTGCGTTAGTCACATCATGATCATCAGTAACATCAGAGGTATCTTCGACTTTTATATGGTTCACTATGGAGCTTGGTCGGTCAATTTTCTCTGGCTTAGAACATTGGAGTGTTGGTGTTGATTTGGAACTACTGAGTGGGGTTTTGGAAGTGGGTCGAAGCGGAGAATTACTGGAGATACTATCGCTATCACTCTTAGAACTGCCAGGGGAACTTGTTACTTCTGGACTGTCCACAGAATAAGATTCTGAAGGCTGGACTGGTACTTCGCTCCCACTGATAGGTTCCTTTGATTTGGAAACTGTAAAACAGAAAAAAAAGATTTTTAAAAAATGGTCAGAATGGAATGATATACAGAAACATTCAAAGAAAAGTTGATTTAATTTCTATTATTTTTTTAAAAAATTCTTGATAGTTCCACGAGCAAGAATATTAAAACTATCTTCCAGTTTCTTGCTTCCCTGTCAACTTTGATTTTCAAAAATTTAAATGCAATGTCTGTCATTATTGTCTTTTTAATTCTTCCTCTTTTGTTCTTTTTCTACCGTTAATAGTATATTTTTATCATATTCTCTAACACCCAGTAAACCTTTGTATCTTAGTGGTTTTATTGCCTTGCTTGAGGTGAAATGATTAAAAAAATGTAATAAAGCTCAGATTAGATACAACAAAACAGGTCAAAAATGTTAAAAGTGAGCATTCTTATCTTGCAAACCATTTATAGTTTGATCCTCACTGGCGGCTTTATTGTGTTGGTCTTATGTTAGACTAAGCTAACCTTAATACATAGGTACCTCAATAAGCATCTATTTAACACAACAAATATTTTCCACATAATCCTATCAATGCTTTTCATTAGCATATAAGGATATTTTTCATGATACCTTTAGCACATAAGCTAACAATCAGAAAAATGCTGGGGGCATAAATCAAAAGGGTCAAAAATCCACATCACAACTTACAATTACTTTCTTCACCCACAAAGAGTCAAACAATCCTGCGGTTCAAAGTAACATTCTTTTATTGTGGTAAGAAACCCAATTGGTTGAGACTGGTAGGCAAGTGCAAACAATTACCGTATTTCAAGACCTACTGAAGTTAATTCAATCTGAATTCTGATTTTCTTTTATAACAGATAGCACAATAAACAAATTCTTTTCCAAGGGAAGACTTGGTTTTTTCTTCTTCATTGCCATACTACCTTCTGATCTCAATCACACAGGTGATGATAATGATAATAATAATAACGGTTAAAAATAAATGTGAGGTAAATAGCAATAGGGAGGTTTAGATCCCTAAAATCCAAGGTTGTAATTCCAAAGATCAGTCTTACAAGTTCAACATTAAAAAATTCTAGGGGTATGAATCAAAAAGTGTAAAAAATCTGTATCCAAAACTCACAATTACTTTCTTCACCCATGAAGAGCCAACCAATTCTGTGGTTAAAAATAGCATTCTTTTATTGGAGTAAGAAAGGGTGTGATTGGTCAAGATTAGTAGGGAAATTTAGGCATGGGTCATCAGTGTTTTCCATTGGCTGAGTAGCTGTAAAATGGACTTCTCCACTATCTTAACAGCAGGTTACAATTATTAATATTTAAATTTTACAATGGTCAGTTTTCAGTTAGTGCCTGGCTATAGTCATGAGTATGGAACTCAGAGTAGTACTAATCAGTGAAGAACAAATGTATATTTATTGATAGTATAAATGTTAGCTCTGTTATTTTATATTGAGCACTGTTTTATTGCCACTACTGTGCACTATATATATATATATATATATATATATATATATATGTGTGTGTGTGTGTGTGTGTGTGAATAAATAAAACTAATTATATACTAAATTTAACACAACCAACTTAATCATATGCAATAACTCTTCTCTGTCAACTAGTGTTTTTGAAAGGACCAACATTGTATATCAGTTTAAATGTCCTTTGGAAGATTGTATCTCTGACAAAAATGTAAGTACATATGTTGGCTTGACAACCACAACATTATCAAGATGTCTTACATTCCATTTGTCAGATACAAGTTCTATCATACAGTATTTAAAGATACATTCCTGTCCACCTTCACAATACAGGAAAATACTTGCTTCAACACCAATATACAACACCATGAAAATAATAAACAAAAACTTCAAATTCTCAAGGCCCTCTATATCAAATGCAACCAACCAACACTCAACAAAATTTATTATGAGTATTGTAGCAATGTTTTAAAATGTATTTGAGTTGACTAACATTTAACACCATTTTGAAATTTGCCAAGTGCCAATTTTACCATCTCTGGTTATGGCCCTTTGAATAAGAATGCTTGTTTACAAAACATCATAAACACAATGATTAATTTTAAAATATTTATGGCAGAATGCATTTGCAAGTGTTTGCAAAATCACTATCACAATTACAGTTACATTAAGTTTGATCAAAAGTACTTAAGTTAACAAAAAATAGACATAATATGTCTATATTATTTAATGAAACATGCTTGAATGAAGATATGCTGCCTATATATATATATATATATATATATATAGCTACTGCTAGCCTTCAAGCACACCCATCTGAGAGGGCAGCTAGCCAAACCCAATTGCAGAGACACACCTGTGATTTATACTGTAACTAGGCTGAGTGGACCTTAAAGAGACAAGGAAATTATGAAAAAATGAAATAACATCTTACACATGTTTACATATGCATATGTGCAATCATACATACACATAAACACATGCACACAAACACACATTTACAAAGAAGAAAATTCAACCTAACATCAATAAAAAAATGCATGAATTATTTTTTTTTTAACTTAATATAAAAATAACTAAAAAAAGAAAATTGGCAGATATTTTTTTGTATCTCCTGTTGATGTGGACTGAACAATTGTACAAAAGTTTGTCTACGAAACTCCTGAGTAAAGGTGTGGAATATAACATCAATCAGCTAAGTAACAAATTTTATATTTGTATTAATCATATATATATATATATATATATATATATATATATATATATATGTAAGCAAATGAAGAAAAATACAGAAAAAACAAACAAAAATTTTAACATGCAATTATCCTGTATTAATGTTAATATAAAGTCGACGTCAGACGTTTCGGTCTATTTAAGACCATCTTCATGGACATTTTCATTTAAAAATAATTAACATTAGAACATATAAAAATTTAACACAAAAGACAATCGACATAAGAGCACAACTAATCCAAACAGAAAACTGAAATTTTATATAAGATCAGCGTTCCATTTAAATATGATCATGTTGTCGTCACGTGGGCAATGTTGTGAAAACGTATTCGAAGATGATTTCCAAATATTAAAATATTAAAAAAGTCGATTGAACTATTTTATATAAACAGTTCAAGAAATCCCTTCCGTTGAATATAGGAATACGTAGAGATTAATAGGTTCTTATATCTTCATACAAGCTTGAAGTCCTCCACGTTACAAAGCAAATCAAAAATGATTTCAAAAACGATGGAACAGTTCTAAAAAAAAAAACAGTTCGATAATAAATCCTTTCCTTACTTGATCAATAGATTCATATATTCTCCTCCAAGCTTGAAGTCTTCCATGTTATAAAGTAAATTCAGGTTTGTATTTCCAGTAGACAGTATGTAAGCAAATATATGGATATAGATCCGACAGTATGAAGAAAAATACAGAAAAAACAAACAAAAATTTTAACATGCAATTACACTGTATTAATGTTAATATAAAGTCGACGTTGGACGTTTCAGTCTATTTAAGACCATCTTCATGGACATTTTCATTTAAACATAATTAACATTAGAACATATAAAAATATATAAGAATATATGAATCTATTGATCAAGTAAGGAAAGGATTTATTATCGAACTGTTTTTATTTTATTTTTTTTTTTTTAGAACTGTTCCATCGTTTTTGAAATCATAATCGTGATCCAATTCATCAGACCTACAAACCTAGGTCTGATGAATTGGATCATGATTACGATTCCAATGTAATAAATTATAACCATGGGATATTAGTGTTTGAGCCCTTTATATTATATTCTTACTCTGTCCTGGACACTGAATTCTACCTGGATTCTATTCTCTTGGGAATTTATATATATATATATATATATATATATATGTATACACACACACATACATACATATATATTGACCACTAATATTATCTCTCTCTCTCTGTATATATATATATATATACATATTTCATTAAATAATATAGACAAGTTTCATTTAATATCTATTTATTTTATGTAAACTCTTTTCATACTGTCTAATAAGTTTAATAACATTATCATTGAACGAAGAAAGAAATTCACAATATTGATCCATATTTTTTTTTAATACAATCTAAGCTTTTGGCTTACATAAGCCATTATCAAAGATGTCAATTACAACATATTAAGCAATATACGGACAAGACAGTGATGATAGTCTGTCATTGTTTACATAGATGATCTCTAAGCAACGATAAACACGTGCATATAAGACGCTAGAAGTGAAAATCGCACCGCATCTCATGACGTCACACATGACCACGCGAGGGTGAATTGGAGAAGTATGAAGTATGGAAAGCCGTTGGCACAAACCAATGGCCTCCATCACCAACTGAGGGAGAAGAATCATTACGAAGAATTAAGTTGGATATACTAGATTTAGTGTAGTATATGATTAATTTAATTTTTTTGCAAGAATCTGTTGTTGATATATCAGTATTTACTAAATTTTTTAGTATATTTTCATCTTGTTTATAATTAGTATGCATTTGATTACGATATAGGAGATTAATATATTTGAGATCAGTAGAAGCAGTATTATGTACTATTTGCTTAGTATTGAGATTTCTAAGAAAGCATCTTATTTGTTCATCAACTATATAGTTTGGAAAGCTATTATTAATAAGTGTCTGTTTTATATTCTTTAGTTCACTGTAAAAAATCTGTTTTGTGGATGTATTAGATTCTTTATAATTGCTATTTTGTAGTAATATGGGCATTCACTCTTGTAGTTAAGTGTACATGAATTTATGCTTGTAGGTTTTTTGTATGGCGAAATAGTAAATTTGTTATTATTTGTGTTTATCAATATGTCAAGGAAGGGGATTTTATTATTAGTATTGAGTTCATATGTGAATTTAAGGACAGAATTATTTTGGAAACGTTTTTGAAGTTGAAGTATTTCATCTGTATTTTTAACTAACATAAGAATATCATCAACGTATCTTAGGTAGATTGATGGTTTTTTTTATATATGGTGCAATGGATAAATTGTCATCTAAATTAAACAAAAATGAAAATAACACTGACATCTCATTTTAACAGAGATATTTACCAAAATTATGCAAAAATATCTTGAAATATAAATTGTAAATTTATTCAATAAAATCACCATTGGCTTCAACCACAAGACAACTTTGAAATCTCTTGCAGTTCTTTTGGATGGTCTCCTTGTTTAAGTTGGTGCCTTAAGCCTTGCTGCCATAATCCTTGCCTTCAGTTCATCTTTGGTGTTACAAGGAGTTTCGTTGATCTCTCACTCAACTGCACTCCACAAATAATAATGAAGGGGGGTTGCAGTCTGGGGAGTTAGGTGGCCATATGTAAGGGTTGATGTGATCGTAGAAATTGTCTGACAGTCATGACTGTTTTCTCCTGTTTGTGTGGCATGGTACAGAGTCCTGTTGTTGAGATAAGGTCTTCCAGCAGCCACCCTCTTGACCCAGGTCAACGCTGTCTCCTCAAGGCACTTGATGTAGGCCTCCGTGTTGAATGGGAAAATGAATGAAGGCATAATGTTGCCATATCTAGGGATTACTTCAAACACCATGATGTTGACTGGATATATTATCCAACTCTTTTTGAATCCTCTGCACTGTCCTCAAACTGGCATCCATACATTCTGAAATGTCTGTATTGGAGCTTCCAGTACGAATACCAAGTCATACAACATGCTGTTTCCAAATTTCTGGGAGAGTAATTTTGCCATGGTGCTCTTTTTCTCATGGATGGTGCCCAACTGACCCTACTATGTTGTGCAGTTGATAAAATCAAAAACAAACATGGTAGTGTAACAGTTATCAGCACAGAAAGTGAAACTGCCAAGCCAATTCTAGTTGATTCTATTTTGTTTACTTTGTGCTAATGTCTTTGATAAAGGCATGAATCCATCTTTCTTCAGCTATGGATTAAATAACAGAATAAACCAAGTACTATTGCCTCAGATGGCAGCCAGTCTAGAAGAAAGAAAGAAACTTGAGGAAGACTGAAGACTGTGGCACACTGGGCACCATTTCTTTGTTACAAGTTCTGAAAAGTGTTGCTGCTTCTACACATGCTTTCACCACTATAATCAAATTGTGTAATTGTCTGGGTCTTTGTACATCAAAACCAACAGGAGAATCCAGATAAATAACTTCAGAACACCAGCTTGTAGCCTTTGACCATACTAAGTAATGTTTAGTAAATAAAAATAACTCACCTGCTTTGTGCTTCTTCTTTTTGGTACGGCTCTTAAAGACAATGTCATCAGTGTTGTCGATGACATTCACTTTGTCAATGTAGCTTCGCCGATGCACAACAGGCTTGCGATTATTAATATTGCTGGACATCTCTTTTGTTGACCCCATTGCTGACTTTGTCATCCCAGCAGAATCTGTACTCTTGTAGGTATTGCTTTTTAGGCAGGAAGTAAGATCAGAGACAGCTTCTGATGATGACAATGCCTCAGGTCCAATAAGATCCTCAGTTGCAGCCACACCCCTGCATATTTCATCCTCCAACATGTGTGAATGGCGTTTTGCCTCTGTCTCCAGAGGGTGTGTGTACAATTCCAACTGGATGACATCATCAGATGGCAAAGTGATCAGTGGCGGCAAGAAGTTCTTTGAGTCTGATTTGGGTAGTGATGATGCTGGCAGGTTTATTGGAACAGAACCGAAACTGTTTGAGAGGGAGCAGCTCACATCTTCATTAGATGACGAGGAAGATGAAGAACGTCCAATTCTATTTGATCCATCTCGAGAGGAATAAGATTCAGAAATCTTGGGCTCCGAAGACATTCGTGGAATACCAGGGATGACCAGTGGTGGGTACTTAGATTCCTTTGGTCGAATGATTCCGAATATATTGGCTGGGAGAAAACGAATTGGGGAGTTAGACCTGTTACGATATTCATCTTCGTTGCCTGCTGAATTGGCGGCATTGATATTTACAGAGGAGACACCTGAAATAATACAAGGAAAACCTGCACTGAGAATATTTTTCATAAAATATAGAAAAAATTATAAACTGCATCAAGGATGGATTGATTTGATTTTTTATGATTTATCAACCTTTTGGCAGGTTATTTAAAGCCAGAAAATATTTTGGGGTTGTAAAATTTTTTTTTTTTAAATAGTAATTATTTAGTCATATAAATCCTACTAATTAACCCATAGCTGGGGGGGTTCATACCTTTCCCAAGGGTATTTGTATATAAATGAATATAACAATCATGACTGGAATTGGAAATCAGAGAGCCAAGTTCCAATTTTTAATCCATTATCCCTTACAACACATATGCATCCAAGCTTACCAGGTATTCTCAAGTGGTCACCCATCTAGATATTGACCAGGCTCAACATTGCTTAACCGCAGTGATTGTACCAGATCTCATGTTCCAAAGTGACTGTAAGCCATCTGGATCAAGGATAAAACAATAATTAATATACTTTTGACTTCATAGGAGAGTAATTAATAGAGAGTATTTTTGTTCAAACTATTCTTCTCATCCTGATTATAGATACAATGTTTCAGTCAAGCACACTAGCCATCATCAGATATCCATTGCTTTGGCTGATATGGAATATCGGCTGATTATTGTGTTATTTTGTACTTGTCATGTAAGTTTTTGTTTGTTCCTGCTGAACTAGTATTTATTGTTTTACTACTTGATCCAGGAATGGATGACAGTAACACATGTTTAACTAACTCCTGTATCCACTATGCCACCATCCCAAAGGTGATAAGTAGTGTATTTTTGTAGCCTTTATATTCAATGTCAAGCAGCTTTGACACAAGGATATCATGGCAGGTTCATACTGCATTTGATAATTTTGCATTGCATTTTGAGATGCAGGATTATCTTTATATTTTACTGACTTACAGCCTATCACTTTGAAACCCCTGCTCTCATATGATCACTGAAATAAAGTAAAATTGAGCCTGATCAATACTTAGGTGGGTAACTGTTTGGGAATACCAGGTGCTGTAAGGATGGAGGTGCAGGAGATTAACAGATAAATCAGAATTATCTCCCAAAAATTCTTACAATCTAAAAATAATTTTCTGGATTTATATAACCTGTTAAAATATACATAAATGTTAATAAGACATCAAAAAACAAATAAATCAGTCTTCATACTTATTTCAAGATGTTGTTCTCATCTTGATTATTTATGTGTTATTGTAGACAGTATTTCAGTCAAGTATGCTCTGGTCTCAACATTGGAAATCCTAGTGGGATTCAGCATTGGCAAACACAACCTTAACACCATAAGATACACAGATGACACAGTACTGATAGCAGACACAGAAAAGAAATTACAAAACCTCCTACAGAAGGTAGCGAAGGAGAGCAAGAAGAAGGGACTAAGCATAAACTACAAGAAGACAGAATAGTCATCAGCAAAAGGATGAGCCCGAAATGTGATTTGCAGACCAGGGACACTAAAATCAAGCAGGTGTGGAAGTTTAAATAACTGGGAAGTGTTTTGACAGAGGATGGCAAGTGCAACACTGAGGTCCATAGACATATTGGGATGGCCAAGGATACATTCTAAAAGCTGGGCAGAGTATTGCAAGACAGGAGGATTTCTTTGGTAATAAAGAAAAGAGTACAGAGCTGTTATGTGACATCTGTCCTCCTTTATGGCAACGAGTGTTGGATGGTCTCCTCAGAGATGAAGAAGAGACCCGAGGTGATGGAGATGTGGTTTTATAGAAGGATGCTGAGGATATCATGAACCAAGCATGTGAGCAATGATGAGGTGTTGGAGAAGATGCAAACAAGGAGGAGGCTTATACTTAACATCAGGAAGAGGCAGCTGAAGTTTCTGGGACACGTAATGAGAAAGAAAGGCCTGGAGAATCTGATACTCACAGGTCAAATAGAGGGAAAGAGAGACAAGAGAAAGTAATACATGACATACTTGGCAAGCTTAAGCAAGTGGATGACAGAATGTGATCTGGGGGAGGTGGCAGAGGGACAAAACTTACTGAGAGCTACAAGAGGTAGAGGGTAGTGGAGAGCCATGATTGCCTACATCCTGAAAAGAAAGGAAATTTGCTCTGGTCATCTTCAGGTGTGTATTGTTGGGGATATCTTTTGATTATTGTGTTATTTCATCCTTGTGATGTCAATTATTTTTCATTCCTGCTGAACCGCTGTATATTATTTCAGATTGATCCAATTATAATCACTGGATCAGGTAGTAAAACAATATATTATAGTGTCTCCAGTTTTTAAAGACCAGAAGTTAATAGGATATAAACAACATATTCTAACAGCTAATAAATCATGTGGAAGTTTAAATAACTGGGAGTCCATGGAATCCTCAGCATTCTTCTGTAGAACCACATTTCTGCTGCCTAAAGTCTTTTCTTCATCTTTGAGGAATTTATCCAGCATATAGAATAACAGATATTACATCACAGTGCCATACTCGTTTCTTCGTTTCTAATGACCTTTCCATTTCTTTATTTACATTATTCGGACTATTGTCCACATCTTTGTCACCATATTTAATACAACGTTTCGGTTTCAGGTGGTTGAAATGTCGAATTGAACCCTTTATTTTGCTCACTGGGGTAGACTGTTCTAGTTCCACGTGCCATGTTTGATGGATGTCAGTTATCAGTTATCTCCTGTTTCTCAGTTTCTGGGTATTATAAACCTAATGTCTTCAGCAACCATCTGAAAGTTCTCCACTCCCTTAAGTGGGTATTATCCTTTATCCTCTGTGCCATGTGTCCTTGAGGACATCTGGGTATGAATTTCTGGGTATTATAAACCTAATGTCTTCAGCAACCATTTTTACCAGTTCTCATATTGCAATTTTTGCTGTTTTCATCGCATGCTTTTACCAGAGCTCATATTGCAACTTTTTGTTGTTATCATTGCTTTTCTCTGGCACTCCTTATTACTGGTTCCCATATTGTATTTATTTTTATGCTTGGTCGGCTCAGGAGATTTTTGTGGCCTAGCATATGTGGTGATTCCTTAAGTTTATGAATTTTCCAGTGGTGTTCCTTGTCTATGATCTCAACATGATCCCACAGAGGGCAGTGATCTCCCTTCTCTCTCCATATGTGGTCAGCCATGCCTGATTTTTCCACTTCCCCTCGTGTAGTGAAAGAGATAATCAGTTACCCCCCCCCCAAAAAAAGTTTGTGTTTGTAAAGCGATCTGTCAAGAAAAATTACCAAAAAGTAGTTAGCAAAAATCTACATCAATGACTAGAAGCTATGCTAATGTTCTTCCCTCCCTCCCCCGAATGGCATGACCAATCAGAAAATTCTCTCGGTGAACAGAAGCCATTGTTTTTCGCTTATAAAAGGAGAAGATTTTTTTGAGCTTGGTGGAACGAACACGCGTTTTTGCTGGTGAGAAGTGTAGGTTGGACATGTGACCCCATTTTGTTGTTTCTATGTTGTGTGTTGGACTGTTACGTCGGACTATCGTGTGAACTGTGATTTGGCTACAAGTGTTGCGGTCGAGAAACAGAAGAAATCTATTGCAGTTGCTACTATCAGTTGACAGTCTTTTCTTTACTACAACAATGTTCCAGATCAAATGACGGGTGAAGTTCAAGATTGTAAGACCAGTGTGGTTTGGTTGAAATTCCCTGGTGACCTAATATTAGATAAAATGTTCCAGATCAAATGATGGGTGAAGTTCAAGGTTGTAAGACCAGTGTGGTTTGGTTGAAATTCCCTGGTGACCTAATATTAGATAAAATGTTCCAGATCAAATGATGGGTGAAGTTCAAGGTTGTAAGACCAGTATAGTTTGATTGAAATTTCCTGGTGACCTAATATTAGTGTTATGGGAACTTACCTATAATGATAAGGGACTCTTCCTGACACTATAAATACTGCGCGTCTCAAGAGGTGTAATGAATGAATGGTGTGACGAGTCGAGACAATATTAGTTCACTCTAAACCAGACGGACAGTCATTACTAATACCTTCAAATTCTTGTACTATATTTCTGTTGTAATATATATTTGCTATTCTACTCTTGTGTTTATGTTGTTCTTCCTTGGTTCTAACCTTGGACCAGGATATTGAACCATAACAATTAGATAAAATGTTCCAGATCAAATGATGGGTGAAGTTCAAGGTTGTAAGACCAGTGTGGTTTGGTTGAAATTCCTGGTGACCTAATATAAGCTTCAGAGCAAATTATGGATGAAATTGGGTTGTAATACCAATTTGTTTTTGAACAAAATGCACATGACTTTGGGTGGTATACCGGCTATTCTGAGATGTGCACTTATACCAGCCGCTTGGGTTCAATGGGTTAAGTCTCTAAGTTTGAGATTTAGGACTGTCTCATTTGGTGACATAGTAATTCTGAGTTCAATCTCTGAGCAAGGTAGTACACAGGGTGGGCAATATCCCTAGACATGGACACAGATTAAATAAAGGGTTCAGTTCAAAATTCCCTGGATGTTTCCAGACATCTGAAGAAAGCCTGAGGACACAATGGCTGAAATGTTTTGATAATAAAAATGAGGACATTAGTCCAAATGTAAATAATGTAAAAAATAAGAAATATTTTGTTACTGTTAGTATTTGACTTGTCTTCAGATTTCTTTATTTCTTCACATATTCAGTGTTATTAAGTGCGTTCAAATTCCATCATTTCTTTTTCCTTCTACTGTCCACATTTAGGGATATCTTGTCGTCTTGTTTAGTACTGCTCAGTTATTGCTCATCCTGTTACCTTTGAGTCGAAATCTGTACTACCCAGCCAATGAATTGAACTCACAATTACTATATCATCAAATTGACAAACCAATACTTAATCCACCAGGCTATTATTCCACAGTGAAAACATTGTGAGCAATAACTGAGTATTAAAAATGAACAAGATGAGATATCCTTAGACATGGACAGAGGAATGAATACAACTTACTCCCGTGAATTAAATAAAGGATTCAGTTGGAAATTCCCTGAAAGTTACCTGGATTGACTAAAAAAAGGCCAGAGAGCACAACAGCCAAAATGTGAAAATAACAAAGATGAGGATATTTGTCCATAAGTAAATAATAACTACTCATCCCAGAAATTCAGAGAGAAATTATTTTTGGAGCTATTGGTAAAATATACAAACCTCTATACTTCTGAGATTCTGGCTGGGGCGAGATACGAATGACTGTCCGGGATGGACTACGAGTCAAGACAAAGATTTCTTTAGAATCAACAGCCACATCCACAATGTGTCCCATTCGTTCCTGCTTCCCAATCACAACATTCTTCTCAGGATCGAGAATGTAAAGGGCTCTTTTATTCCATGTAACAATCTGGTTGCTGTCACCATAGGGGTACAAAATTCCAAACTGTTGGTCACTGGATGAAGGCTCATCTCCAAAAGTGGAAGTCTCATATAAAAGTAAGGGGATTTCAGTGCTGTCAGCCATAAGGTGCTTAAAGATATGCGTTGCTTGGACAGTCCCTTCAATGTTGGACATCCAAATTCTTTGGCCAGGACGTGCTGCGTATAACTGGGCATCAGATAGCTTACACAGCATAGGTAAGAAACAGGTACCATAGTTTCCAGGACTGAAAAAAAAAAAAGAAAGAAAGAAGTAAATATAAAAATTGAGATGAATAACTAACTTCTGCACACATTTTGTGTGTGTGCATGTATATATATGACACAAACAATAAAGAAACACAAGAAAACTATCAACAAACCATCTGAACAAATTAAACCCACATGTAACTGCAGAATAAAGAATGAATGTCCCTTAAACAGCAATTACTTACAAAACAATGTAAAATCATCAGATAACAAAGAAAAAATATACATAGGAGTAACTGAAGGACCCTGGAAACAAAGAAACTATGCACACAAAATATCTTTCAGAAATATTAAATACACGAACAGCAGATTGCTTTCCAATTATATCTAGGAAATTAAAAACAAAAAGCAATTCACACCAAAAATATGGAAAATATGGAAGCGAATATCAGCCTACAACAATCAATCCAAAAGCTTCAAACTCTGCATATAATAACCTTCCCAGGCCCAAATAAACTACTAAATAAACAATCAGAACACATCTCAAAATGCAGACACAAAAACAAATTTTTGCTACATTACTTAAAAATCGAAAACTGAAAAGAATAATAAAATAAAAATAAATAAGCAAAAACAAGTAAAATAAATTAATTTAAATAAACAAAGTAAATAAACAAATTAACAAACTACTTCCACCAAAATAACCATTAGAATAAACTACCCCAATTCATCATTGACATATATATAGTCAAGAAAAAACACATGGCCTGATGATTGTGTCTAACATGAAACAGTCTGTTACCTCTGAATGTTGACTTCAATGTTCACTTTTATATTTACATATGCTCTATCTCTGATATTGAGCACTTTATCTCATAAATATAGCCTACCTTAAAAAAATATATATATATATATATATATATATATATATATAATAAAATGGATTAAGCTTGACAATTATTTAATATATTTTCTGTTTATATGCTATCTTTATAGATACAATTTATTTAAGTAAATGTTCTGTTTTTAATTAAACAGTATTAATTAATTACATTTACTGGCCTAAATTTTGAGAAATTTTGTAGAAAATATGTATTCTCTGACAGAAATCAAACCTGTATTCCTATATGGAAAGCATCATTTGATCTGACATGCTATACCACTCAGCTACAGAGAAGTGCATGGTTAGCAAAGTCCAAATTACTGTTTATAAACATATAATCTTCAATAATTTTTCTCAGTTGATCATATCTGTTCACAAGATGTATCTTAATGTAAACAAAATTTGTGAGCAGATATTGTTTTTTAATAATTATAATTTATATTATTTTAGTTTGAGATTAATTATTTTCTTCCTGTCCATTTTCAGAATTATTTCTGTTTTCTTTTAAACACATGCACACATGAAGTTTGATTTAAAATAATGAAAGTTCATTGTTGCCATTTTTTTAAAGTTTTCACTATTTCTAATAATTTTTCTGATTTCTGGTTTATATTTGTAAATATATCTTCCCATGTCTAAACACTTTTGGCAACATCTGCTATTTTTGGTGATTTCTTTTCCCTGTTCATTTCTCTTTCATTTTCAGAAATATTTCTGTTTTGATAGCAATATCTACATTTTGTACATCTCAAAAGACATTTAAATTGTTATAAATACAGCAAAAAAAAAAAAAAAAAAAAAAAAAAAAATCACTGAAATAAACTAGATTTATAATTAGAAACAAATCAGAAAAAATAAATATTTGAGAAAAAGCCCAAAAATAAACATGACATATGGTGTCTATTAAGGTTCATCATTGAAAAAGCAACAGATTCCTACACAGTTATCTAGAGATCATGATTCAACAACACATACCAATAGATAGACTTTTAAACTGGAAAGCATGAAAAAAAAAAAAAAAAAAAATAACAACAACAACAAACTTACGCTTTTCGTTTTTTCTGTCCCACTTGGATGATTTCATTATTTCTATCTGTGCGACATATAAGTGCTCGCATACTGGTGGATACAAGGAGGGCTCGTTGAAAGTATCCGAGTTGCACAATCTCAGACAGGAATTCAGTTAGCAGTACAGAAGATTCACAACGACCCTAGAAAGAAACAAGAAATTCTTCAATTCCTTTTATAATTTTATAAATATTTATCAATCCATCATTCAATATTAACATCATAATTCAATGTGATGAAAACTGTAGAACAGACATTTCATCTTTTGTTTAGTGGTTAGGAGTAGAAAAACATCACATGACTTCTGTTTATGCTTTAATCAGTTAAATGTAGGATGGAGAAAGAAAGGTTGGTTGACCAAGGAACAAAGTTTCCTTATTTCAAATTTTCAGGATCAAATAAGCTTTCCTTATTTCAAACTGATCATCGTCAACAGTACAGTTGTTGTTCCCCGTCAAAAAGCACTGGATCTTGAAAAGCAAAGACAACTGAATGTGTTGCAAGTGCAGATAATTTAACTCCTGTTCCTTGAATGATCATTGTGGTTAAATGGTCACTTTTTATATTTTTTCATGGTCAAATTCAGGTATTTCTGACATGTAATCATGTGACCAGATTATATACTTTGGCTTTATTTAACCCTGTATCGCTGACATGGATGTACAAGAAGTATAACTGTCAGTAATTCAGAGAAATTGGCAAGCCGTGTTCAAATCTCAGCTGAGTTCATTTCATTCATTGAGAAAGGTATGAATCCATTTCTTCTTTTCCCAGCTATGGGTAAAATAGCAGGGCTAACTGAGCTCATTTGCCTTGAGGTGGCAACCAGCCTAGGAGAAAGAATACCCTGAAGTAAAAACCATTGTGAAAAGAAATCAGCTCCATCAGGCTTATGTTGTCATAGGCACATTACTGCTACTATGGCTGTAATACATGTGGTGCCCCTATGACCTTAATAGATCATGGGACTCATGACATAATGGTGCTGAATTGTCCTTTGAACACATTATCCATAACTTATTTTTGTTGAACCATGTTTAGGAATATATTACAATAGCAAGAAAGCTTTCAAAGCAAAGTAGTTGATGTATTCTATATTCAGAACACATGTAAGACTTGTGGATATTGCATAAAGTATATTTTTGACTTTGGAATTCATACATTTTGGTACATAGAAAATAAAGCATCTCATTCATTTATGAATTAATTTATATTTATAGAAAAAAAGATTTCTACTTTCCTAGATGAATGTCACAAAAGACAATATTCCTTGTTAGAAAGGCTTATCTTCTGACTTGTTTCACAGATTTACTCCATTATCTTAACAGTTATGTCTTTTAAATGACTGACCATGGAAAAAAGTAATGAGGTTGTCAATGGCTAAATACTGACTGTGGTAAACAAGTTCCTACATATTTACATTATTTAGATGTAGATCATTGCACCCATCTTTATCAGTGAGCCATGATCACCTATGTCCTGAAGGAATACATTATTAAAAAAATGCTTGTCTTATTCCATGACCACTGTGAAAATATAACGTAGTTCTTAGAAAACATTTCTGCAATTGACTACTCTAATTTCATAATACAAAACATGTTACGGTTTTTTGTGTATATACTACATATAACTAGTGAGCGAGTCAAAATGACTTATTTCCCTTTATAGTCTACCAATAGAAGATTAACCAATTGAAGATGCAGAGCATTGTAGCCGTCGTGTATAAAGGTGGCCATCTTTGTTTTCCTACCGGAATGACCAGAGCCAACTTGTCAGGCTAAAACGACAGAAGGAAGAACTACGCTCTGCTACGATATCCACTGCGAACCTGCACTACGCTTTCCTACTGTCTCCGAAATATTCACTGCCAACCTCTGGATTCTATACTCGAGGATGACCGTCATGAAAATGTCTAACAAAACATACATAAATATAAATGTACGTCTATATTTCTGAGATGAGGTATTATGTACATTATTTACATTATTCAGACTATTGTCCTCATCTTTGTTGCCATATTGTGATAAATATGGCGACAAAGATGAGGACAAAAGTCCGAATAATATAAATTATATATATATATATATATATATATATATATATATATATATATATATATATATATATATATATATATATGTATGTATATTTGGCCAGTAACCCTTTTTCAAATATCTTTCATTAAAGGAAGTTTTTATTAATTTTTCTTACATTTTTCCATTTTGAGAGTATATATATATATATATATATATATCAAAATATATAAAATAATTATTTAAAACTTGTAAAATAAATACATTATACTGAAATTAATATTATATTACAATAATAATTATATTGATATTATATTTTTTTTATTATTAAATAATTATAATATTTTTATTGTTATAATGATTATATTATTAGTATATTATTTTCATTATTATATCTACAATTTAATAATTATATTATTAAAATAAATATATTATATTAAAATTTATAAAATAAATATATTAAAAATATATATATATATATATTAATATTATATAGAAATATAAAATATAAACTATATTATACATATAAATATAAACTATAAACATAAATATAAACTCATACATAAAAATTATATTATACATAATTTAAAATGCTTCTTTTATTCTCTGACCACTGTGAAAAATAAAACATAATTCTTCTCATAAAACCTTTTTGCAAATGACTATTCTATATGTTAAAATGCAAAATAGGGATTTTTAATTTTTACAATGTGACTGCTATGTACAGTTGTTGCCCTTTTTAAATGGCTTCTCTCCTATCTTTGTTGAAAAAAATACAATGTCTTTCTACACATTAAAAATTTAATACATAGGCATTGCTCCATATTATAATGATACTGTTCCAATGGTCAGGTTTAAATTGTGGAGGTTTCAAGAATGACACAGAAATTAAAAACTTCACAATCTTACCAT